TTAATGGGTAAACAAACTGCTTTTTCTTCTGTGATTTGTGCAGTGGGGTCTCCTTTTGGATCTTCATTTTTAGGAACGGTGAGGAATACAGCATACATACTTGCAGTTGCTGCCCTTTTGAATGGCGCACACATGTATAGCAAGGAGTGAGATTTTAGGCTTAATGTCTAGCCTTGCCTCTCCAATCTTTATGGAACTTTGGTGATTTACATTTATTCCCATGTCACTAAAATATGAATTCAAATTATAATGCGTATTCAAATTGCAAAGTTTTTCTTAGTTTAAGGGTACATGATAGCAATTTTGTTTTATTTTTTTGTTCCTTATGTTATTCCTTTTGCATTTAACCTATTGTTATCTCTCCCAGTAATTTTATCTAGTTATATTCAAATATATGTTAGGCAGGAGTACAGTTAACAATTGAAATATTTATTTCTTGCTTAGAATTAAGGTTTGTTTCAGAGCAGGATGGCAGTTGTTAAAATCTGGTAGTGATCAGAATATTGATTGTGTGTTCTTAAGTGTCTAATTGTTCTACTCCCAAACAATTTATTTTAAATGATAGCTAGTGTTTTTCATATATATTGTTAAAACTTAAAAATGCTCTCTGTTTAGTCTGGAGAGCAAGTGAGGCTTAGTGCCATGTAGTGTAAAATGAGCCACCTTTGTCACAGGCAACAGAAGAGGTGTTGCAATTAAGATGGTAAAGCAGTACATTTTCATTTTTCACTTTAAAAGTGTGCTGCTGAGAAAGGAATATGATGAATAAGGGTAGTTTGGGTATTGATTTAAACATTTTATCATTAGTTATAAAATATTACTATGAACTTGGCATCTTAAGTTTTAAATTAAAAATATGTAGATTTGGGTTACTGAAATAGAATTTCTTTTTTCCAGGATTTTGCTAATATAATGAAAATGTTGAGAAGCTTAATTCAAGATGGCTATACGGCCTTATTGGAACAGCGTTGCCGCAGTGCCGCACAGGCCTTTACAGAGTTGCTGAACGGTTTAGATCCTCAAAAAATAAAGGTAAATTTGCCATATCATAACTTGTTTATCAGTGCTAATGCACCTCAGATGAATGCAGAAGAGAACCAAGGCCTTAACTCTTTGTAGTCATATACCTAAGACCTTGCTGAGATTGGCTGAATCTACTTCAGGTTGTGGGAAGCAGGTAGTGCTCCAATTCAGACTTCACGAGTATGCTCAATAGGTGATCCATGTTTATACTCTCTCCTTGACTGTAGTTTAGGGTCATTAGAACTGACTTTTCCTCTAAATCAAGGATTTCAACTCATTTTAGTCACACCTTTTCACCCAGGAAGAAAGTATAGGCACACCTCATTTCATTATGTTTTGCTTTATTGCACTTTGCAGACAATGCATTTTTTACAAATTGACGATTTGTGGCAATCCTATGTCAAGCAGGTCTGTCGGTACCAGTCTTCCGAAAGCATGTGCTCACCTTGTGTCTCTGTGTCACATTTTGGTAATTCTCACAATATGTCATACTTTTTCATTATCATTATCACTATATCTGTGATCAGTGATCTTTGATGTTACTATTGTAATTATTTTGGGGCACTACAACCTGTGCATATATAAGAAAGGGAACTTAATAAATTGTGTGTGTGTGTTCTGAGTGCTCTGCCAACCAGCTGTTATCTCCACCCACTTCTTTAAGTCTCCCTGTTCCCTGAGACATGATGTTGAAATTAGGCCAATTAATGACCCTACAATGGCCTCTAAGTATTCAAGTGAAAGGAAGAGTTGCACGTCTCTCACTTTAAATGAAAAACTAGAATGATTAAGCTTCGTGAGGAAGGCATGTTGAAAGCCAAGACAGGCAGAAAGTTAGTCCTCTTGTGCCAAATAGCCAAACTGTGAATGCAAAGAAAAAGTTTTTGAAGGAAATTAAAAGTGCTACTTTAATGAACACATGAATGACAAGAAAGTGAAACAGCTTTCTTGCCGATGTGGAGAGTCTTAGTGGTCTGGGTGGAAAATCAAACCAGCCATAACATTCTCTTAAGCCAGAGCCTAATCCAGAGCAAGACCATAACTCTTCTCTTCTGTGAAGGCTGAGAGAGGTGAGGAAGTTGCAGAAGAATAGTTTGAAACTAGCAGAAGTTGGTTCATGAGATTTAAGGAAAGAAGCCAATTCCATAACGTAAAAGTGCAAGGTGAAGCAGCAAGTGCTGATGGAGAAGCTGCAGCAAGTTATGGAGAAGATCTAGTGAAGATCATTGATGAAGGTGGCTATGCTAAACAACAGATTGTCAATGGAGACAAAACAACCTTCTGTTGGAAGAAGATGCCGTCTAGGACTTTCATAGCTAGAGAGAAGTCAATGTCTGGTTTCAAAGCTTCAAAAAGGATGAGTTCATTACTCATTAGGGGTTGATGCAGCTGGTGACCTAAGTTGAAGCCAGTGCTCATTTACTTTCCAAAAATCTGCAGGCCCTTGAGAATTATGCTAATTCACTCTGCCTGGAGCCCTAGAAATGGAACAACAAAGCATGAATGACAGCACATCTGTTGACAGCAAGGTTTACTAAGTACTTTAAGCCCACTGTTGAGACCTACTGCTAGAATAAAAGATTCCTTGCCAAATACTACTGCTCATTGACAATGCACCTGCCCAAGAGATTTGGTACGTGTACAAGGAGATGAATGTTGTTTTCATGCCTGGTAGCACATGGATCAAGGAGTCATTTTGACTTTCAAGTCTTATTATTTAAGAAACATATTTTATAAGGCTATAGCTGCCATAGTGATTCCTCTGTTGGATCTGGACAAAGTAAATTGAAAACCTTCTGGAAGGGATCACCACTCTAGATACCATAAAGAACGTTCATGATGCATGTGAGAGATCAAAATATCAACATCAACAGGAGTTTGGAAGAAGTGAATTCCAGTCCTCATGGATGACTTTGGGGGGTTCAGGACGTTAGTGGAGAAAGTCACTGCAGATGTGGTGGAACAAGCAAGAGAATTAGAAATGGAGCCTGAAGATGTGACTGAATTGCTGCATAATTCAGTATAAAACTTGCAGGGATACGGAGTTGCTTCTTACACATGAACAAAAAAAGTCATTTCTTGAAATGGAACCTACTCCTCGTGAAGATGCTGTGAATATTGTTGAAATGAGAAACTTAGTTGATCAAGCAGTGGCAGGATTTGCCACTCCAATTTTGAAAGAAGTTCTAGTGTGGGTAAAATGCTGTCAAAAAGCATCACATGTTACAGAGAAACCTTTTCTGAAAGTAAGAGTCAATCAGTACGACGGACTTCATTGTCGTCTTATTTTAAGAAATTGCTGCAGCACCTTAATTTTCAGGAACTACCACCTTGAACAGTTAGCAGTCATCAATATCAAGGCAAAACCATCCACCAACAAAAATATGTAGATGACGGGTTGATGGGTGCAGCAAACCACCACGGCACGTGTATACCTACGTAACAAACCTGCATGTTCTGCACGTGTATCCCAGAACTTAAAGTATAATTTTTAAAAAAGTTTAAAAAAAGATTATGACTCGGTAAAGCCTCAGATGATCATTAGCATTTGTAGCAATAAAATCTTAAGGTGTATACATTGTTTAATAGACATAATGCTAGTACACACTTAATAAACTACAGTATCGCTTAAACATAACTTTTATATGCACTGGGTAACCCATAAGTTTGTGAGACTCACTTGATTGTGATATTTGCTTTATTGTGATGCTCCAGAGCCGAACCCACAGTATCTCTGAAGTAGCCTATAATAGCTAAGTAAATGTCTTAATCTGCCACTAGTACCCCTTACATGAAAAATAATATGACTTTAATTAGAAATTAATCTATTATGAACCGTGCCTTAAGGAACTCTGAGACAGTGATTCTGTGTTTTAAATAGCAGGATAACTGCTTTATTGGGACAAAAATCTCTTTTCTAATTCGATTTGGCCAATCATACTGATTAGTTTTTATGACAATCATTGATTAGTAAGATTGATTAGCGAGATTCTATTACACTTCTTTTTCTGTTGTGACTAGATGCAGATTGGGCAGAATTATGTTCAGATTTTTAACTGAGGCATTTTTATTGACAGCAATTGAACCTGGCCATGATTAACTATGTCTTGGTTGTCTATGGACTTGCCATTTCTCTCCTTGGAATAGGACAGCCTGAGGTAAGATTTGTAACAGTGGTAATAAACAATTAAAATGATAGTGACATACCTTAGAATAGTTGTTTTCTCATTTTGACCCATTTTCTTCTCTGTACCTTCTGATAATTTTGCCTGAAATGTCTCAGTTTAATTTAGTTTGTGTTTTTAAAGAATATTTAGTTTGTTCCTATTAGAAAAAGGCTTTGCCAGGCAATGAGTGGGAATCTACTTTTTATTTGTATAAAAATTAGGACATAATGTATCATGATAGATTTCAGAAACATAATCTTGGGGGAAAAGCAAGTTGGAGGACATAAACATTGTGATCCCACTTATATATAATTTGGAAAATATACATAATAGTATTATATACTGTTTAAGAATTCTGTGCATCTTGTAAAAAAGTGAAAAAAATATGGATTATGTTTATATAGAATTGAAGATAATGGCTGCCTTTAGTGATGGCAGGAGGGAATGGACGTAGGGAGGTTTCATGTTATGTTGTTTTCCTAGAAAAACACAGGTAACGATAATGTTAATATCTCTTATTTCTAGGTAGAAAGTACTTACGTATTGTATTATTTCTAGATTGCAGGCTTCCTATAACTGCATGTAGTCAGTGTATAGACATGAGCTCCCAGGATTTCCATTAGTCATGCTCCTGCCTTGCTCTCCTGGAATGTTTACCTACCTATACTGTTCGGCATTATAACTTTGCTTTCTGAGGTTTTGAGTTTGCTATAAATGTTGAAATGCTCTAGAATGACCTCAAGTATAATATATAATTTGGGCTCTGTTTTTCCCTGTCTAGATGAAGGTTTAACCCTAACTTGCCACCTAGCGAGGATCTAAGTAGTCTTTTACGTTCTTTTCTCTCCCAGAAGTCGACAGTGCCCAAGGTTCATTTTCCTTGATCTCAATGTCACAGATTAATGTCTCCCATGAATGCTGTCTAATTCTATTTTCCAAGAGACAGTTGGAGACAGAACTTCATGATTTTAATTTTATTCCTGACAGAATAATAATAAATACCATATTTTACCTTATTAGAATTGAAGAAATCATTTATTACATTTGTGATTTAATGTAAAATAGAATGATTTGGGGAAAAAAAAACATGTTATAGTAGAACTTACATGTTTGGAAGAATTTCATCAGAGGACAGCCCTTGCTTCAAACACTTTTAGAATGCCTCTGTTGGAACTGGCCTCAAAGCTCTATTTTGTAGTGACATTTCTTTTTTTCACTCACAGTAGGGTTACCAGTATTTCTTAGAACTGAGTGTCTTTTGGATGTTTTCCAAAAACAAAATTCATTCAACTTAGTGGTTTTTCACTGTTGAGAATATTAAAAAAAGAATGTACTCTAAGTTATGTTAAGTTTTTCCTAAAGAGCTGTTTTTAAGACAGCTTTCATCCATCTTACGCCACAAAAGACTGTGATAACATCATTGGAATGGCATTCCTTCCAAGGGATTAGCACTTAATAGGATCTATGTTATGGTGTGTTTACACCATAATTAGCCTTTTTTAAAAAAACAAAAACAAAAACACGATTTGACTATTTTTAGTATTAGCCAGCACCTGCCAGGCCCTTAGTGTGTACTGGTAAATGCTTGTAGGTTGATTGTCTGATGTGTTCAGCTGGATTGGTTTGGTTGTGTCTCTGACTATCCATATGATCAGAAATTTATGTAATTCCTAAGAAAGCGAAACACAGAGGTATAATTTTGCTACAGGAATTTGGGGGTATGCAGTTGTTATTTTAATATTATTAAAAAAATCAACCTTTAGGTAAAATTTATTTCAGTATTTCTCTTTGTATGTAAGTGATCATTGTTTTCACTGCTATTGAAGGAATTATCTGAAGCTGAAAACCAGTTTAAGAGGATTATTGAACACTACCCCAATGAGGGACTTGACTGCTTGGCCTACTGTGGAATTGGAAAAGTATACTTGAAAAAAAACAGGTTAGTAGAAATGACACTAATTTAAGCTGTAGGCTGGTAACTCATTTAAAATCCAATATGATAATGATCCATTTTCTGGAATTATTTTGATATTTCCTCTGTAGCACACTATCATAATTGTGATTTACTTTGAGGACCTGAATGAAATATCACTATCAATATATATATATTTTTTATTATACTTTAAGTTCTAGGGTACATGTGCACAACGTGCAGGTTTGTTACATATATATACATGTGCCATGTTGGTGTGCTGCACCAATTAACTCGTCATTTACATTAGGTATGTCTCCTAATGCTATCCCTCCCC